TTCTGCTCTGATCCCAAGAGGTTCAGGATCTTGATTTTATGGCAAAATGCATGTTACGGGCTGGTTTCCATCTGAGTTTTACAAAGGAGGCATCTCTTTACTTTATTCTGCTGTTCAACAGGTTAAGCTAGACATGCTCAGGAACTGCTTAATAACCTGAAAAAATTAAGCTTGTAACTGATCAAACATCTCTGGCCACTTCTGATTAAAAATAAGATGTTGATTGTGATGATAACAGATTAAAATTTAATAGCTTTAATATCTTCTCTGGCTTGAGAGATTGAACAAATAAATTTATGCATCTCAAGGAAAGGTTTTCAACAGGAGCTGTACACGGGAGGTCGGCCAAATTCCCCATGACTAAGGTAGTAAGAAAAATTTCCCTTGATATGGTGAAATCTGACCAGGACAGAAGAATCTTGGCTCCAATCCACATTTCCTAAAGTATTTACACAAAGCACTAGGCTAAAACACGATCCTTCCTCCTACAGCGCAGAATCTGAGGATATAGAAGTTTTTCCACTTTGAAGGAAATACTTTTATAAAGATAGAAACTAGCACCATCACTAATCCCATCTTGGATTTTGAATGGCAAAAATGAGAAGCAGGGTGTTCAGAAAGGCAATTATGTCCAGGAATTCAGGCCTGTGAGACTCCCAGGCTGAACTTGAGGCCTTCAGAGAGGGACCTCAGCTTTGATGGCAGAGATTTCCAACTCTTCTTCAACCATTTCCTAAGCACGGCTAAGACTTTTATTTTGTTCAACAAATAATTTCTCACATTTGCAACTAATATGCCGAACAGTTCAGTTTTCTGCAAAGATGATATAAATCTGTAAAAAATATAACAACATCCATCCAGTGACATGGTGACTGACTGATTGCTCGAGAAGATGACAGTTAAAAAGACTGAATATGATACCTGTTTGGTTTTTTTTTTTTTGAGGACAACTTGAAAAAAATTATTTCCCTGGCCATGCCTCTCTACAGCTCATAAAGATAGGTAGCCTGGTAAAAACTTGATAGCAATGTTTAGGAATCATATCTACATCTAAACAGTAATCACAAAGATAGTTAACTGTAGAAAAAAAACCAAAGCAAACCACAAAACAAAATAATAAAGCAGTACCACCAGGGAGATGGGCCTACTATCAGCTGGGAATTCACCTCTGGTTCTCTTATCAACAATGCAAGGATTAGGGATGCTGTAATATTTAGTGCACAGAGAGTTAAGTTACAGCAGGAGAGAGTAAGTCACTGTAATCCTTACCTACTAAAGGAAAAATTCCATGGATGTCCAAAAATTTATACAACACAGTGGAAACAAAAAGCTCTTTGTATTGGGGTGAGAACGCTGCAATCTTAACAGACACTCAGCACTCATGCACATTGTCATGAAAGGAAAAGAAAGAAAAGAAAGGCTGTCCCAATAATAACTTCTGCTGTAAAACTTTATCATTAGAACATCTATTAAATATTGAAATCTTTACTAAAAATGCAAACTTTAACACAACATACCCATTTGACTGTCCTGAATACAATTAATGCAAAATGCTAGCATTTAAGCTTAAGAGAAGTTGAAAATAAATGGTCCCAAAAAAAGTAATTATAAAAACTGTAAACAAAGACTTTTTGTTGAAAGTAATGTTTTGTACAGAGTAATTGACTTTAGGTTACTATTTACTGTAGTAAATGCTCACAAGAATGGTCTGGAAGAACAGGGATTTGAACATATTAAAAACTGCAGGACTTTTTAAAAATCCCTATAGCTGAGGTTTCTGCTGAGGAATTACACTATTGGGAACTGCTGACAACATCAGAAACACAGACTCACTGGGAATAATGCTACAGAGCCTACTTGGCCAATGAAACAGAGCTGGATGTTATTATGGGGAGCACCAAAAGAAGCCCAAGAAGAACCAGGTGCATCTTCACAGGACAGCTGCTGCATCAGCAGCAGGAGTACTGAGGGGTTGGTCACACATTCAGGACACACAATGTTTCCATAGTGTACCAGCCTTGGAAACCATTTGAAGCCATTACCTACTCCTGGCTTCAGGTGTACTGGTGAAGAGGAAGAAATTAGTTCAATTGTATTCAAACAAACAAGGACAACAACAAAGAATGAACTAAATCACAGCATAACTGTGTATGTCTGAAGCTAGCTCTGTGTAAGAGAAGTACAGTCCATCTTCCATATAAGTATTTGTGAGATCTTGTATGTGAGCATTCATTCAGTAGGGTATGCCAGTCAAATGGAAGATACAATGAGCTGATACTTCCTTGGGGATCATAAAAAAATATTAAAATTATCTTCTGGAAATAAAAATTAGTTTACTTAATGTTAAGATGCATGCCTATATTGCTGTCCTCATATGGTAAAGATTATCCCCTTTACTGAGTGGGATACAGTAAGTTACAGGTCAATTAGAGAAAGCTGCAGTAGGGGATATTTAGATTTTTAAAATCAAACTGGATTCCTTCAACCTGTAATGGCCAAATGCATAATGGAAGAGAACCTCTTACACTGGTCCATTTTACAAAAACATGCTAGTTTTGGCTTTCAGGTCTAGTGTGGGGATACATTTTTGCTTCTACATAAAAGGAATTCCAAACAGCAGCAGGTATAGATATTATGAAAATAGTCTTTTAGTTTCTCTCTCATAGGAACATTACATAACACAAATTTGTGTTGGCTATTTTAGTTTAAGTACTTATTCCAGAGTAAAGGAGAAGCACCTTCAAATATCTGAAAAGAATTAGAAGCTCTAATTCTCCCAAGTTTCACATATTTTATTAGAGTACCATTTATACATCCCTTCCAAAGTGATGATTAAACAGATTAAATTAAATGATAAAAAATGAAACAATTAAAGCAATGTATTTCAGTAGTGTAGATCATATGTCTACAGTAACAAATAGCCAACCAACAAATACTCTTAAGCATATCATATGTCTACAGTAACAAATAGCCAACCAACAAATACTCTTAAGCATTCAGCTGAACCAGAATTATACATACAACCTAAAACAAATGGTGCATACCTGCATTTCTCTACATATACTTTTCATTCTGAAATGAGTATAATCTAATCTAATAATACGTGGTCACAAACCACATTTGATTCAAACCAAAACAAATTTAAGAACGTATCTGTAAGTAGATTTAAAAATATTTGTATTGTATAAATGGTACTCTGGACCTTTTTAGTGCTTATTTCTCTTAAGGCCATAATAAGCACAAAGTAAGATTAACTTTGCTGATTTTGCTAGGAAAATCACATCTAGAACCTAAAAAGCTCTGTTAGTAAAAGCTATTTTACCTACCAGTGCAAGTCCTAAACTACATTCTGACAATAAAACATTCAGGATGACTAATGTATCATTGAGGAAGTACATGGAAACAAGAAAATTCTCCATCACTTCCAGACCTTTATTTCAATATTAATTAGTTAATACTTAAAAAACCAACCAAACAAACAAACAGAAAAAAAAAAAAAAGACCCAGGAAAAAAAAGAGCCAGTTGGTTGTTTAATAAGCAAAATTAGAGCTGCACACATCTTTTCCTGGCAATACCTCTTATCTCACAGTTTCATGAGTGAGATACCATACTCCTCCTTACCTATGCCATCCTTTTGTCAGATACAAGAAAAAACTGTATTACTCAGCAATTACAGAACACACTTAAATTAAATATGACAACATAACTAGGAAATGAGAAAGGGGTAAAAGCTGGTAGAAAAAAGTCTGATAATGAACCCTTTAGTTATGATGACTAAGTGATACAATATCTAAAGCCTTTTACAAGGTATTGAGATTTTTATTCTTTTACATAGAATGAGACAAAGTGAGAAGAAGAGGGGGGCAGAGGAAGAAGAATCTGTGGTCTGTAAATGATCAGCACAAAAAATAAATTATGGTCAAGTAACTGAGCTTTTCTGATGTGTAAATTGAATCATTCCCACACGCTGATGTTTTATAATTAAAAGACCCTTTTCACTGTGGGAAATTTTACTGAATTTTGTATTAAAAGAAGAAACAAACCATCAATCAGGAGGAGGTAGGAGAACTCAAAGAGCTCAACCTATTAAACTTGAAGAGTGTAGTTGAATTCTGAATGACTTGCTCTAGGAAACTGTAGCTCTTTTAAGGCAGCTACTGTAAAAACATTAATGAGCAGAACACATTTCTGATCGCTGTTCTAAAATCTTTTGTAGTCATATAGAAGAACACACACTCCATTTGGTGTCACAAGATGCAGAATATGGTTGTAAATGAACCCTTTTTGTGAGGTTCACAAGCTAGAAATTACTTGATTTTGGTTACCATTGAGAAAAATCACTGAGCTAAAACCAAAGGAGGAAAACCCAAACTCCGTGTACTTGCTCAATACAGTGCAGTTGCTAGGTACATACTGATCAGACAGATTAAGGTTTGCTCACAGCCAGATTGCTGCCAAATTCAAACATTTTTGAGTGGACACCATTTCAGAGTTCTGGGACCTTATGCGCTTTCAGCTGAGTTGGGATCATGGCTAAAAATTACATTTTCAAATCATTAACCAAAAGAGAAGTATCATCAAAAAGCATCACAATATGGCACACATAGGCAACAATAGTTTCTTGTGAAAACTTGAGAATGCTCACAACAGATTTAATAAGTAATTTTGAGAATTTTATAATTTATTCAATTATGTTCTATCCTTGATGAGTCTGGTAATAAGACAGAGAGTTTATCATTCTGGATATTCCTTCATGAACAAGGCATTTATATCTCCTAAAGATTGTGCTCTGTCAATTTCTCCATGCTACTAGTTTTGGTGTACACTGTTATTGCAGCAACAATAAATAAGACACAGCAACATAAACTATTGATAATAGACAAGCCAGTAGAAAAGTGCATATACTTCCATCAGTTAGACAATGGTGTGCCATTTTAAAAACACAAATGCAATACATAGGTCCCACCAGAGCTTGAGGCTAGAGGATGTTTGATCTTACCTTCAGCTTTCCATGGGAGTGGATCTCTAATGAGCCAAGAATCTGCAACGAGAACAGATTATGAAGATCTTGGGCAAATATTTTTATTTTGTAATTGTTTAATGATCATTACAGAATACCTCAGTAGATTGAAAAATCCAGACAAGATATGATAGATGATATCTTTTTATTCTTTATTATTATTTTCTTCTTTGCATTGTGATATATGGTATGGTCATACACTGAGTGTCTTTCCTAAAGTCTAAATGAGATGCAGATTATCTGTAATAAAACATTTATTATAGCTACTGCTGGACTGACATGTTACTACACTTGTAAAATGCAATTTTATTTCTCTGAACCATATGGAAGTGTTGATTGCATGTTGAATACTAAATGTAAAAATGGCATTTTGGAGATCCATGTTCATTATACCTCATTTACTTTCACATATGATTCCTTCAGGTCACACATGAAAATGTTCTTTCCTTTCTGCCACTGTGGAAAACGGATCATATATTCTGAGAATTAAGGGAAAGGTCTACCTAACTTTAGCACAGCTGACATGAATTTTCAATTGCAATTTTTTTGATGTATGAAACAGTAAATGTACTATAAATCCCACTGCTATAGCTTTGCAAAGCCAACGTATTTAACAGTAATAAACATAAAACATATGGAAAAGATAATAATTATTTTTTAAAGAAAAACAAACATAATGGCACTTAGAATATATACAAAGAACCATTTTCAGAGAGTATTTTTCATAAGCATTGCAAGCTTTCAGTGTTCTGGAGTAAACTATAAAATGATTTTTGATTTTAATAATCAGGAAGTTGGGAGTATTTCACATATAATGATGGAGCTTTTGTAAATTAAATGAAGACATGGAATAAAGCTCTTGCCGCTAACAAAAGAATCTGAAAATCTTGTTTCAGTCTTATCTTTTTCACATTCCAATAAAGTTCACATTGTAACATCTGCCAAAAAGGGAAGGAGAAAAGGGTACAGTATATCTTGAAATGAACAGCCACAATTTTTTGTTTCTAGAACTCCTCTTCAAACAAGAATCAAAACAGATTGCACAATTTTTCTCTGAGCCTTTAATGAAGCTGTGATTATGCAAGTGATACGAATAAGTTATGATGATGGTTGGAATGTAAAAAAATTGCACACTTCCTGTATTTGTGTTAATACTTTTCTCCCATGACAAAGGGTTTTCATTTCATTGTGCTGTCAGCAATTCAAAAATCTGGTATGAAGGTGTATTTCACCTATATTTTTTTTATTTCCAGCATAATAGGTCAAGTGTAAAAGTTGAGTATTTTCTGGGGTTTATTTCTGTTTAAAGGTATGAGTTTAACTGACTGACCCAGGAATTAGGAGTGGTATCAATACAATCCAAATAATGGTAGTGTACTTGTTTTGTTTGGAAGAGTTTTCTGAAAAAAATTTTCTTCATAGTAGCTAACAGTGAGCCAGCTGGCAGTACACAAGGATTTGGAAGATGACAGCTGACCAAAGGGATATTCCACACCATATGAGATTGTGCTCAGCCAAAAAAGCTGGGGAAGGAGAAGGAGGAAAGGATGATCAGATTTATGGTACTCTCTTCCCAGATAACTGCTATGCATGATGCAGCCTGGATTTCTTGCAAATGGCTAAACATCTATCTGCTGATGAGAAGTAATGCATGAATCCCTTACTTGGCTTTGTTTGTGCTCAAAGTTCCTGCTTTACCTATAAAACGGTGTCTATCTCATGAGATGTCTCAATTTTAACCTTCTGATTCCACTCCCTGTCTCACCTGGGGACAGTGAGTGCCTGCATGGAACTTGGCTGCCTACCTGGGTTAATCCAGAACAAGCAAGAAAGCAATTCTAAATATTGTCTCCAAAGTTCTGACAGGCAGAGATTAAGAGGATAAGCATCCTATTTTTAACTTCTGGAAAACAGGGTAAACACTACATCAGATTGTAAGACTGATTTACTCTACACCCTGAAAAGTGGGTGGGTATTGGATCTGTGCATCCAAGTTCTATCTGAACCCTGAAAAGCATTTCCTATGGTATCTGTAAATACAAAACTGGGTAATAAAAGTCAGTGAAAACTCTCCCATATGTTATTGAGGCACAATATATATCTCCCTAAATATTTAAATCCTGGACTGTTAATATATTTTTTTCAAATATATGTGCAGACATACATACAAATGAATACACAGCTTGACTGTACAGACAATATAAATGTAAAAGAAGATAAATACTAAAAATTTAATTGTAGCAATGTAAGGGCAAGGTATTGAAAATCTAAAGGCTCTATACTAAAAATGCTCTAATCCATGATGAACAGTTATCACATCATTGAGTCACACTATGTGAGAAACTTTGAGTTCGGTATAAACTCAACTACACAACTACACAATTTCAAAAAAACCTTCCCAACTGAGTGTCTAAGCATCTGTGTCCTCAGAGTACTTGCACCATAGACCTTAACAAAGCCTGCACTTGAACTCCAGAAAAAAAAAAGAGCCTGGAGGCAAACCTGAAATACTCATCCTTGTGTTTTCTATTTATGTTATCACTTGCAGGAAGAAGTTCTAAGCTATGATTTTACAACTGTCAATAAAAGTATTTTAATTTAAGAAAATGCAGAAAAATTTCTCTGCTCTCTTGAATATTTCCTTTTTCTAGATTTAGATGATCTTGTGTTTAAAGTTCTTCCCTTCATGATTCCATTTCTTAGGTGCTTAACTGTCCTGATTCACTTAATGAGCATTTCTGAATATATTCCTAGCATTGCACACTTGAAAGTCAAGCTTGGTGACACTCACTGCCAACATATTTAACTCCCTTTGATGCTCTGATCTTCATTTACTGGAGCGTGATCAAAGAGTGCTGCCCTCAGAAACACGGGAAGGAAAACTGAAAATAGCAGCCAAAATGCAACAAATAGCAACACCGGCTCATCCCTGATCAGCTCTAAGGTGCTCAGATGTGGAATTCATCAGTTGCACCTGATTCAGTCCAAATAAGCCGTGTGGTGGTTTTAAAAGGAAATGCACTCTTTGGCAGTTAATCTATAGTAGCTCAGCTCATGCAATCTGAGCTCTCACAACACACCTGGGAAAAGTCTCCCAGCACTGTCCAAGGTACTGGTGTGTAAGAAAACAAAGTTGTTTCTATCAAAATCTGTAAAAGGCCAATCTTCAACAAGAAAATTTAAATTGCATCCAATTGTTCCTAACTAGGTTCTGGAAGAAGACAACAGAAAATAATGTACAATGACTCTGGTTCAGGCAACAGGGCAGCAATACGGCTGCCTCCCCTCAGAAGCTTTTCCAGAAGGCAGCAGGTCTCAGTACATATAGAACACATGGAGTTAGGCAATGGCACTTGACTTGTAGCAGACAACCACACAGTGATTCTTGCTTACCACTCAGTGGAATGTTTATTACACATTCTCAGATGGAACCTTTCATCCCAGGGAAAAAATGGAAAATAGAAGAGATGGAAAACATCAATTCTATTTCATGTAAAAAAAATGACTCAAAAAAGCTTATAAAACTTTACTGCTGCCTGTCAGATAAAACACTGAAATGATCCAGCACATCCTATCTGTTTGACTATCAACTTTAAAGATCTACCAGCTTGGAACTTAAGAGATTATATTGCTATGCTAACATCTAAGAGAAAAATATATTGTTTTGAACTGGGGAAGAATACCTAGCACATCAGAAAAATAGTTTCTAGTTTCAGGACACTGAACTGCAACTTCATTCTGTTTTGCTCTGTTATATGATGAGATGGTAAAAACAGGTAGTGAGCATTCTTTCTCTGCTTCTGTTGAAGACTTAAAAACCCAAAGCAACAATCACTCAAGTTTTTGTAAATTGAGGAGCTAGATTAGTTAGATAACAACATCAACTCTACATAATGCTATCTCACTTATCTATGGCACAGAAACTAAGCAGGTAAGAACCTTCTCACAAAATGGGGTCCTCCACATAGAACAAGTTACACAGAACAGAATAGATAGGGCTAGACACCAAGCACCAAACCAAAGAAGCACCCTGACTACTTCTCTGACTAGTCCTCTTTTCTAAGTTGTATTTAAGCCATGTTCCTGGATGCACCTGGGAAAAGTCCTGAGCCAAAGATAATGTAGAGCATTTTTATTTCCTAATTTATTGAGTCGAATCACTGGCAAATTGATTCAAAGTTCTTAGTAACAAACTAATATAAACAGCCAAAAATTGCAGTTATGTGGAGAATAAATAATACTAGGTTCTCAGAACCAGCCTTATGCAGTATGAATGGATGGACCTTACAGCCTGTTGTGATAAACAATAATCTGTTGCCATAATCCCAGCAGTGCAAGGATCCAGGGACCACAGTGGTAAGAGAAGCTTTGATGTAAAGGACTAGCTCTGGTGTAGAGGACTGTCAAAAACTGAAAGGCTGAGTGATAACCTGAGATCTAGGAAAATCCACCCAGGTAAAATTCATGTAGAAATTACAAAAAAATACACCCAAAATTAAAAAATATAGTTATAGTTCTGTGCAAGGTGCTCCAGGATGACCCTGCTTAAACAGGGACCAGATGGCTCTCTGCAGCTTCTTCCAACCTTACCTAGTCTTGGACTCTGTGACATCCATCCATCCATCTATCCATCCACCCATCAATATATAAGACTTTAATCATACATACAGTTTATACCACAAACATAAATGGAAAAATATGCATAAAATCCTACAGTTATGTATAACTACATATATATGTCTATATTTGTATAAATCTAGTTTTATACATCTTCAATTATATATAACAACAGGATTGTTCTGTACAAAATTCTTACATTGACGTTCGTGTGAAAAAAACCAAACACACTGTAGCCACATATTTTTTTATAACCTTGTCACAGTAAAACCCAATAAGAGAACAGTATATTAGTAATTATGATTTACCACCCTCTACACAAAACCACATTTTTTATTTAATTGCAACAGAAGTATATCTATATGATCTCTATGGAACTTCAACATGCTGTTAATTAATTTGGT